TTGTTTTTGCTGTCATGAGCTGTCTTTCTCATAACTTACACACATTTGGACCCAAATATGTATTTGTGTCTACTACAGGATGATGGGTAGACTTTGAGGGAACATTGCCAGACATTTCACATTTTTTGTCAGTTTCTTGGGACATCCAGATCTAAGTATTGGTTTAGGATTGGAGTCTGTATGTTCTCTTGGTTGGTGTGGATTGTAAAAATCAGCTTACTTATTTTTCATGGTATTGTCTCTCTATTTACTTTCAGTGGGTAGGTTTCCCCACTCCTTCATTTTGTGGTGGTGGTGACTTGAGGGGGGTCTAAGTATAAATCTTCTCTCATTGTAAAGGAGAGAGTGGCCCTGTGATTCTGCAGATGTGTCTTTCTTTCTTTAGAAATCTTATTTTTTATTCTCTTTCATTTAGTTTGGTTTTATCATTAGCTCTTTACATTGTAATCCTTATTAGTCATCTTACAGAAAGTTCTTTCTTTCATTTTCTCAGCATATCCATATTGTAAATTTCCATCTTTCTGGTTCATGGGCACAGGTTATTATCACAATGTGATAACTGCCCTGTTCAAATGCCAATAGAGACACGTTCCAATTTCTCCTAGCTTTCAAAGGATGGAGTGACACTGCTCCATATGACTCAGTTCTCTTGTCAGAATTTGTTTTCATTTATTAAGTATTCGCTTCCTAACTCTCCTTATTTCACTCAACTGGGTGTCCTAGTCTCTTTTGCATTTTTATTTCTCAGCTTTCTCTTCTTCTTTTTTTTTTTAAACAGATTTATTTTATTTATGCATATAAGAGCTGGGCTACATGCCAGAGGTGTGGGAGGTAAAAGAATTGACCAGAGACAGAGTGAGGAGCAGAACAGGCAGATGGACTGAATACACTGCTGAGGGGAGCAGCGGGAAGGTCAGGAGAGGTCTGAGGAACCATGTGGGTCACCTCCCTGGTCAGGGATCCAACTCATGCTGCAGTGGCTGCAGATTGCCTCACAGTGCTGTGCTTTAATTAACGTGTTACACCTCTAGGCATGGCCCTCTCAGCTTTCTCTTCTTAAGGCTTTCAAGAGATGAATGTATAGCATCTCTTTGATGATACTTCCACTGTATACATTGTATTGTGATTGGTTGTGTATATATGTGTATAAATATGTCTATACATGTATGTGTATGATTTTTGTATATGTGGTCTCACTCTTCTACATGCAACATCTTCCCACATGTTAACTACCATATTAACTCCTTTTCATTTTGCTATTCCAAGTTTTAAATTCCAGCCATACAGCCTCATATTCCAGTTAATAATTCATGGTCTTCTGAATCTAAGGCAAATCTTTTCATACTTCCTTTACCAAAGTTTTTGGGTTTTGTGCAGGAGAGTTTTGCCCAGGGTAGTTGTTACAGTGGATAGTTGTGAACATTCATATTGCAAGACAGTTAAGCTGTTTCAGTTGCAAGATTGGTGGTGCAGTGGATTAAAGCACAGCACTAAGAAGCTAAAGTCACTTCAGCATGAGTTCGATCCCGCCTGCCCCGGAGGTGACCACATGGCGCAGCAGACCTCTCCTGACCCGCCCCCTGCTCCCCTCAGCAGTGTACTTCGTCAGTTGGCCTGTTCTGCTCCCCATTCTGTCTCTGGTGAATCCTCTCACGACCCCTGCACCTCTGGCCTATACCCCAGTTCTGTAGGCGTAAATAAATCTTAAAAAAAAAAAAAAAAACTGTGTGTGTACCTGTTTTCTGGTATCATAACTTTTGTGATGTTTTCTCCCAAGTCTTTTTTTCCTGTACATATATATTTACATCATTAATACCATTGCACAATCATAATTTTTTCTTTCCCTTTTTAAAAGTTCAATGCGCGGGTTAAAGTGCAGAAGCTAAAGCCACTTTAGCATGAGTTTGATCCCCGCCCTGGAGGTGACCCATACGGCATGGCAGACCATTCTTGACCCGCCCGCTGCTCCCCTCAGCAGTGTATTTCAGTACATCTGCCTGTTCTGCTCCTCACTCTGTCTCTGGTGAATCCTCTCATTGCCCCTGCACCTCTGGCCTGTACCAGAGCTCTGTATGCATAAATAAACAAATCTTAAAAAAAAAATTACCTCTTATCCTTAAACATCCTTCTAAAGTAGTTATTCTCAATGGGAGCTAAGGTATGAAAAAAAATCTATTTCCTCCTCCTCCCCCTTGTTGAGAATCACATCTGCAGAGTATTATTTAGGAATATCTTTCTTTGTTATGTTGGGTTCATAACCATTATTCTGAAATATCTTCTTTAACGTTAGGTAACTAAGACTCATGAATTATCTAACTTCTTGAGTTTATTGTATCTTATTATGAATAAAATTGAAAGGAACATTCTTATTCATCAGCATTTGTCTACAATTTTTATCATTTTCAAAGGCTCAGATTTTTAGAACTGCAGTTATTTGGTCAACAGATTTGAATAGTTTTCAGATTGTCTAATTATATTGCCATGTTAATTTACAGGGTGTTTGTACTGCATTATGCTTCTACCAGTAGTGAACGAGCCTGCCTCTCGTCCTAAACTATAGGCAGCACTGACTACAGCTATTTTTAAAAATCTATACCACTTTCATAAGCCAAAATGGTACCTCATTATTGCTTCAGTTTGCGTTTCTTTGATTAATAGTAACTCAGTACCACATTTTAGGAGACATTTTACCTTGTTTTGACACAGCCTCAACTCGAGTTCCCCTTGAATTGTAACTGTCAAGATAAATCATTTACATTAAGAGTTGTAGTCTTGAGATATAATAACATCATCCAGAATGTGTAACAGTGTGAGCTACACATTGTAAGCTTACACAATGTAAGCTGCCTAATTAGAAGCAACAAATTTCTAACTCACAAGTACTTATTTTTTAACCTTTTATTGTGAATTTCATAAAAACCCAAGAGAGAAGAGAGTATAATATAAGGAATTTCTTTGTAATCATGATCTTAGCTTTGACAACTATCTGCATTTCTTTTTTTTATATATCTCCCCACTTTTAACATAAAATGATAAAAATTGTAGACAAAGGCTGATGAATGAGAATGTTCATCTCAATGAGGGATACATTGGAATATTTTAATTCAAATAAATAATAATATTTTATCCATTTTAATACTTGTAAATATAATAAAAACTTTAAAATACCAAATAGCTCCTCCCAGTACTTTGTATATATCTTTTCTTTAGTAAGACTTATTAGAAAATATTACATATACAGAAAATACAGAAAAGTGCAGAGCTTAAATGAACACTTTGGTGAATGACTACAAAAGGAACACACCTCTGTACCCAGCAACGAGCTCAAGAAATAGAATATAAGAGCAGCCTCAGAGCCTCCCCTGAGCTGCTGCAGTCCCCTCATGTCATGAGCCCTCTTCTGTCTAAAAATAATCACAGTTTTGACTACTAACACTATAATGATTTCTCCTTGTTTTCTGGACATTTTGTTATTTTCATTTCACTCTGAATTCTATAACCCGTTTATTAAAAATGTTTTTAAGTGGGGGTTCTTCTCCTCTGATAAGTATCCATTTGATCTAGTATTATTAATTAAAATAACATCCTATTTCCTGGTCTGCCACAGTGCCAATTTTGCCATAAATCAGGTATTCATCCAAGAGTCTTTAGGTTTTCTATTTTGTTCTACTGCTCAATCCATCAACATCTCTCTATCTTAATTGTTATAACTCTACAGAGTCATGATATCTGTTAATATAAAGGTCTTTAATTTTGTCCCTATTTAACTTTGGTTTGGCTAATCTAGGCCCTTTGCATTTCTGTAAAGACTTGAGCATCATCTTGTCAACTGAAAAAAAGAGAAAGCAGTTTCACAAACTGGCATCTATAAATTCAAACTCTAATAATGATAACGTATGCTTTTAAAAAATGATACAAGTCTGCTCTAGTGTGTGTATTTTACCTGGTTCAATCTTGTCTCAGACAACCCAGCCACATCAGATCACCTTCGCTATATTCTTTTGGTTCTAGGCAAGTCATAGGTCCTACTTCTACTCAGAGGGAGGAACTTCATTTATATTTTCGACTATCATTAATAATGTTGTTCTGTGATGTTTAACAATTTGGCATATGGTCATTTGTTTTGGGTCCTGGAAGGAACCTGCAGAGTCAAAGAGTGGAAGCTTTTTTCAGGCTTTGATCTCTGTTATCTAATTGCTTTGCAGAAATCCAGTGCCTGTTTTATTTGCAGTAGTTCCCCTCATCTGCAGTTTCACTATTACGTTCCACTTATTCATGTTCCACTTATTCATGATCAACGTGGCCCAAAAATGTGTACAAGAAGATATTTTGTAACTTCTATTACAGTATATTGTTATAACTGTTCTAATTTATTGTTATTGTTAATCTCTTACTGAGCCTAGTTGATAGACTAGATTTTGTCTTAGATATGAATGTATTGGATGTGAAGGGTTTGACACTATCAGCAGCTACAGGCATCACTGGGCATCCCCTGCAAATAAGGGGGGCTGCTGTATATGGACAGCTGGCAACCATGGCATTTCATAAAGGTGTCTTTTCTGCCACCCAGAGATCATTAAATAATGAGATAGCAGCAAAGAGGACAAGAATAATTAGAAATTCTTTTCATAATCACTTTGAGTGATTGATACCTGAAAGTCTGAAGTCATTTGGTTTAGTTTTCCATAGTCTAAACTGTTCACTGTTCCTTACTAAATCTAACTCAGTGTGTATTTGCCAAGAAACCTTTGGGTATTTAATAATTGTATTTGATATTGTGAGGAAGAGACAAGAAGTAAGCTGCCTTTATAAATTTATGAGGATCTTATTGTTTAATTTCTTTTTTCATCTTACAAAATATAACTTCACTTTATAGAAGTTCATGTTGGATTTCACCTTACCTGGTAATGAATGGGTTGAAGAAATTTGAGGTATTCTTTCTAGGTTACAATGTGAATTCTGCCAAGATCAAAACAAAGGTGGCCTTTTCTTTGTTTTAGCAACAGCGGACTGTCTACAGACTGACTCTGGTGAAAGCCTGGAATGTGGATGAGCTCCAGGCCTATGCTGAGCTGGTGTCCCTAGGAAATCCTGATTTCATTGAAGTGAAGGTAAGCCCCTGCCGGCCACAGGCATGTGTTTCTCATGATGCATTGTTGGCCGTTGTGAAGTTAAAATCTTTTAGAGCTATACAGGAGGGCTCAGATATTTTATTTGTTCATTAATCAAGAACCTGGTATTATGCTAAGAATTGGGTTTAATAGTAATAAAGACTTAAACTTTTGCTTTTGAAAAGCTTATTTATAGTGAAAGATAGGCAGTCAATACAAAATGAATAATTAAAAGCCACATGTTGATGTTAGTATACTGAGAAATGACATAGTGCTATGGTGAGCAGCTCATTGAATTGTACATTTTTATTATAGAAAGCTTCAAACATATTTGTATTTGAATATATTAAGAAATATTTGTATATATGAAGAAAACATCATCACAATAAACCTAATTAATGTCCATGACCACACAGTTATAATTTCTTTTTCTCATGATGATACTAGTACTTTACGTCTATCTAGAAGGTCTAACGCCTTTAGAACGCTCTGGGGCCTTCTCTGGTTGTGCAACGGGTTAGGATGCAGCACTGCAAGCTAGCCGCAGC